CATTCTCTTACGGAGACATGCTCTACATGGCCAGAGGCTACGTACCAGTACCAATGTGAATCTAAGTCCTTTCACTGATCACATGGTCAAAGGTATTACAATTGCTATAAACATAGCGAATAAAATCACACGGAAAAATAACTCAGAATAATAACACTGGAAAGCACATAGCACATATAACACATAACATACAATTTTTCCTATATATTGAACTCACCTTAAGTTATCCGGGGGTTAAAATAGTAATTTGGACAGCACTTCGGCTTCAAATATGACTTTCTATGTTGAAAACCGGGAGCTTAATTGAAAACCGGGCTCTGCGAAGGTAGGGCTTCAAAACCGAAAAGATAAAATTCCCGGGCTTCTCGGGGGTCTTGGGACGTGTTTCGAGTGCTAAAATTAATATCGGGGCTTCGGGGAAAGTCAAAATGAAGAAAATATGGAAAAAGGGGTGAAAAGTGGCAAAATTCCAATTTTAGCTGGGAGGGTTCGCACCCTCCTATTTATAGGGGCGAGGGTTCGGAATTTGTGGCTGGGAGGTGTCCACGTCGTGCTTGCGAGGCTCGGTCCGGAGGAGGGTGACGAAGCTGCTCGGTGGCATCAGCAGCGAAGGGCAAGTGGCGCAAGAAGCGAAGGCCACGAGGCCTACTGCGAGGCTCGGACGTGGAGGCGATGCGAAGGGCGCGTCAGGGGTTCGTGGCTGCTTCGGATTGGGGAAAGCGTCGCTTCTCAGGCTGGGCCACGTCTCCGGTGACGCACCTGCTTCGTGCGCGGTGACGTGGCCGATACTATTCATGCGAGATTTCTCGATTTTCGGGCCCCGAACTTCTAAAATCCATAACTTTCGCATACGAGCTCCATTTTCGACGTTCTTTATATGCACGTGTAGCTAAAATTATGCTCTACAACTTTCGTTTAAACTTCGTCGGCTAATTTTGAATTTATTTTTAATATTATTATTTTTAATAGACCGGGACAGGAAAATCCGTTAAAAATTCATAACTTCTTCATCCGACATCCGTTTTCATCAGACTTTTTACCATTTTACTACAAATGACGAGACCTTCGATTATCGTTTAGGATGTATCGGTTAAATATCGCTCGATCTAAAATTCGAGTTTTTATGTCATTCGGCGTCGTGCCGGTTTTATCGCGGATCTTCGGTTAGTCATAACTTCTTCGTTATAACTCGGATTTTGACGAGGTTTTCGCCTACAAGTTTCTAACGAGATTCTCTACAACATCAAATAATAAAATTTTACTTATTTAAAATTTTATATTTTTGCTAAATTTCACTATTTTGTTTTTAATTTGAATCTCATAAGACTTCCAATATTTTCTGAGTGATTCTAAACATAGTTTTACTTCATTTCTGATAAAAACCATCTGTTAGAACTCAACCCTCAATTTCACATAGTATTTCATAATTTTATTCATTACAAAACATGATTTCAAAACGTGTATGTTACACATGGATTCCATAAGATAATCAATCCTAACCTCTTCCAATATACTCCTTAAACTAACCTATGGAACTATGATTGAGGGTCCGTTTGAGGTCGTAGACTATCCATGATTCTTGGCTAGGATTCACCTTCTCGTGGTCTTCTATTCTTCTAGCTTATTTGTCTCTGCATTGGCTCATCATTCACCAACCTTGAAAGCATTAATTGTTCACAACTCTTTATTTTGAATTTAATGCAAATTAAAGAATATTGTATTAAAGGTGATGTATATAATATAGACCCATATCTCCATTATCTTTTATAAAATTGAAAGGACTTTGCTTTGAAATTCTATCGCTACAATGTGAATCTAAATTTGACTGAACCTGAATTGAGGTAAACACAATACCAACCAAATCAATGCCAACTGTAGGCGGATTGATGAAAGATGCAATTCAAACATGCTAGTTGAATTCCCAGCAAAGAAGATAATGATTATATGGGACCAACTCACCTAATTATTTGATTCCAAGTACGTCTCAATCTTTGTCCTTATTAAAAAATGTTTGAAAACCATGTCTTTTTTTAGAAAGCTTTATTAAACAAGGTTAGTGATACTTTAATAATTAATAGTTAACATCAGTCAGATTAGTTATAATTTAACCTCAAGTATAACTTACTTTCAGAGTTGCTCCACTTTAACTTTCATTTAAAAAAAAAAAAAACTAATGTCATAAAAACCCTTAAGTTTTCAGGGTTTTGTCGGTTTTACCAAAAGTTGAACTTTATGTTCGTTTTTATCCTAACATTTTCCAAAAAATGTTCGGTTTTACCCTTTTACCGGTGATAACAGGTTACCATTATATTAACTACGCAAAAAAAACCCTTAAGTTTACAATTTTTTTTACAGTTTTACCCTTAAGTTTATAATTTTTTACCAATTTTATCCTATGTATTTTTTTTTCATATTATACGTATTTAAGAAGAAAAATCATATTTATAAACGAAAAAAATTAAATTAAATATTGTATTTACATTTTTTAATGTTAATTATAATATATATATATATATATATATATATATATATATATATATATATATATATATATGTGTGTGTGTGTGTGGGGGGGGGGGGGGGGGGGGGGTTCTTGGATAAACCATTTAATATGTAAAAAAAATAAATTAATATGTTTTTAGAACTACAAATACATATTTTTATGTATTTAAAAATATACATATCAATAAAAAAAAAACTTGTTCATTCATAAACATGTTTATATACGTATATACATATATTTTTAGAAGTGAAAATATGTATTTTGATATATGTTTTTTGTTTTTAAAGTATAAATATATTTTTAGAAGTATAGATACATATTATTATATAAAAATGTAAAAACATGTATTTATACTTCTAAAAACTATATCCATAAAACACATATTCATAATTCTAAAAATATTATTTATATTTAAATTTTTAAATGGTATAACAATGCAAAAACACAAACACACACAAACAAACTAATATATATATATATATATATATATATATATATATATATATATATATATATATATATATATATATATATATATATATATAACATTAAAAAAATAAAAATACAATATTTAATTAAATATTTTTTTCGTATATAAATATGATTTTTCTGCATGAATATGTATGTTATGAAAAAAATATATTTAGGGTAAAAGTGTAAAAAAATTATAAACTTAAGGGTAAAAACGCAAAAAAAAATGATAAACTTAAAGGTTTTTTTGCGAATTTAATATAATGGTAGCCTGGAAACCTGTTATAAAATTTTTTTTAACCGCACCATTTAAAAATTAAAAAAAAAAACAGTTAGGTTAAACCGAACCACCGGTTATAAATATATTATTATAGAATATTGAAACCGGTTTTTTCAAAAAAAAAAAAAAAAAAAAACCTAACTTTTTTTATAACTGAAAAAAGACGATCTTTTAACTTAATTTCACTTCTGAAAATAAACAATGTGATTATAACTAAAAGTGGATTAAAGCCGGTATTTGTGCACCTCTACCTCATTCCAATTCCAAGCCCTTTCCCATTCATTCAGAATGGAATGCTCTAGCCCTCCACTGATATTTACACATACTTAATCGGGATAAAATGACTTAATTAGTTAAGCCAAAAAGTGAGTTTAATATATTAAGACACTTTGTTGCATTCATTTTAAAAACAATGTTATGTGTATTTGTATCTCATCTTTGTTAAAATCTCAATCTTGATTTTAAGATCTTATGATTTTAAAATCCTATAAGTGACAAACAATCCCGATCACACTACAATCACAATATCACCTTTTTAGTGTTAAATATAACTGATTCTCAAAAATTTGTTTATTTAACTTGAAATCGAGCATTGCAAGTTGCAAGAAATCTTGTAGAGCATCATCATTTCATCAATTTTATCTCAAATTAAGCAGGACATACTCATAATATTACAATTGATTCCACTATCAATGTTTTAATCAACATCAAGTTATAATGTATATGCTTTACACCAAATATCTTACGAGAAAATTCTAATATGAATTAATTTTTATAGGATCTTTGGATTCTGATCCGATCTTATGATCACTCATCCTTGTAAAACGTAAAACGACATTGATTAAGATCTCAATTTTGACAATATTGTTATAACTACATATTCAAATATTTAAATATTTTATATCTAAAAAACTTAAAAAATCAAACAAACAAAGTGTTTCTCTTGTATGCTAGCCCAACAAAAAATTACCTAAGATGGGATGGATCTTTCTTTACAAATTGGATTTTCCTATAAAATTCATATATATGGCCTTGAAGCTTGAAAGTGTTTTTATATAAATAAAGAAAAATCCTTCTAAAATTTTTTCTTATCATTCTCCTATCCATCAAAAGATTACATGTGTCACACTTAATTATTTTTATCTCCTATCCATGTCAAAAGATTACATGTGTCATACTTAATTATTTTTAATAATGTTTTAATCTGTTTATCATTATATTATAGTATAGGTAGGTAGAAGATAAATAGAAAAGAAATTGTAAGTGGATCATAAATCAATTGTTTGATATTGGTGATTGGTTTTATATAATGTTAGGATTAACCATAACTAGTGTCACTTATTTGATTATTTAGATAGATAACTATTAGCTTTCACATTAAATCAGCCCTCCTTTCATCCAAACACACACAAAAGTTTCACAAAATTCACAAAAGCTACAATATAAAATAATAAAACTATAATGAAAGAGGAAATATTGGATAAATAAATCACCTTGAATAAATAAATCACTTTGAATAATAATCAATAAACAAAAAAAAAGAAAATGACTCCAAGAACTACCCTTAAAAAAATTACTCTACCCTCAAATGTCTATATAAAAAAATTAACTCTTTCTTTAAACAAATATGAAATTTCTATCTGCAACAAATGAATGAAAGAATGATCTAAATGACATTTTTACCCCTACAAAGAATTGTTAACTTTATACCCAACAATCTGACCTCCTAACTGTTCTTCTTCAACATCACGCTGCTGCTTGCTGATACGCCGACGAACTTCCGGCGACATCCGACGGGACCCACGCCGACACGGTGTAAAGAGGCTGATCAGACCAGCTCAGAGTAACACCGGCGGCGGCACCGCCATCAGACACCCGCCTCTGCTGCTGCTTCTCCACTTTGAAGGAATTCGGACCAAATGGATGATCATACATTTTCAGTATCATTTGGCTCTGAGAAACTCCCCTCTCGCTGATCTCCACGCTTCTGAATCCGCCGAGCTCCGCCATCGACCGCCACCACTGATCAAACCAACGTGCCTCTCGAATCTCTCAAGCCCTTCGCACGCGATTATGTTTCTGATTTCACGTCCGAAGGATTCTTCGATTTTGATCCGAGAATGACTTTGTAATGGAAACACAGAATCGATACAGTCAAGATAGCAGAATAATACATCAATGAATTCGATACTCTCTTTTCCAAAACAGCGTCGTTATGCTCGGATTCTTGCTCCGCCATCACCACAACGCTAGGGTTTGTGCTTCGAATTAGCCGGAAAAAGTCTCTAAGAGCGCCGCCGGTGGCGTCGTACAGCATTTTGTGAAGCTGTAAGACGCAATTTACAGCTACAGTTTCGCCTTCTTTAACATGAAGCATCCACAGTCTCACATCTTTCTAATCTATCAACAACCGGATGGAATTCAAATTCTAGGTTTAAGGCCTCGGCGAATCCGGAAAGCCGAGCTCCCGTCTCGATGAGATCCTGTTTGGATTCTCCGACGCCGGTGATTCTGACGTGGCTCGGAGGGTTGTTCATGGAAGCTAAACTCTGAAAAAAGCTCGGCCATTGAAGACCTTGCTTTACGTCAAAATCTATAACATGAACTTTGTCTTTCCCTTGAAACGATCTTAGCAGAATCTCGTTTGACGTGAAATGGATGAATTAGGATTGGGGTTGCTTGATTCAAGAGACGTAAAGCTGTCCATTCTCTTCTTCGACCTGATTAATCTCTCTAGGAATAGAAATCTGGAAAATATTGGGCCAAATTCTCGAACCCTTAAAGCTAAAGCTTCTGTGTAATAAGCAGCAAGTCTGGAGATTGAAGAATCGCCTCTCGGAGACGCTAATTCGCCTAATTTTGAAATGAAATGGTTAATTGCAGCTATGTTCTTAACGCCGATTGCTTCCAAACAAGCTAAAAGCAAACTTATAAGCTCAAATCCAACTTCTTCATCATGGTTCGTGTTCCCAATCGCTAATAAATCCAAACTTTGATTAGGGTTTGGTGCACCTACGCGTTCGTACCTCCTACATCCAAACTCCGATGACTTTCCGGCGAACTGCTCCTCGATCCCGACCCCGACCCCGATGACGTTTTCATTCACAACCCTCTGTCTATGGCTTCCTGACGAAACTCCCCTTTCACCTAAATCCGCTAATTCATTCACAAAACTCCATGGACTGGTTCTTAACTGAGGCGAAAACGGAAGTGAAGTAGCAGAATGATCAAGAACGAACCCCTGTTTGCTGAACCAAAAATTATCTTCATTTTCACCAAATTCTTCGACTTTACTGCAACCCCTTTTCCTCTTAGCTCGAAAAGATTCATCTTGTTCATCTTGGTAAAGTCTTTTTAACCCTTTGTTTCTGTTATCCAGATATCGTTCTTTTTCTACCACAGTGTGCTTAAGTGAACAGTTTGTTGTTCTTGCTTCTATTGTGTTGTTGTTGTTGTCGAGTGATATAGGGCCCACAGGTCTAATAACTGGCTGCGATCTTGTTGATTCTTTACGAGGGAAGTTAGTATTGCATGGCAAATCCAATCTTTGTGTGCTCATTGAAGGGAAGTTACTAAATGTAGAAGAGAACACCCAGCCAACATTCTTTACTAACTTCCAAAGTTCTTCACTTTCGCTCTCGTGTATATAATGTATATATATAGATATGTATAAATCAAATTCAGTCAAATTATAAATGTTTGTGAAAAGAAATCAAGAAAATGAGAGAGTGTGTGTAGTTAAAAAGAAACAAACAAAAAAAAAAAGGGGGTTTTAAAAATGGAATCCAATGAATTGAATAAAAACGTATGAATGTATGTGCAATAAAGAATAATATGAATGTGAAATGTGTATGAGCAATTGAAAAGAATCAAAGAATTTGATGTAAGAAAATTTAAAAAAGTTTACCTCAAAATGATCATCGGATTCCGAAAAACACACACTCTGGGGAGATGATGATGGTTGAAGAAATCTTTACCATGAATGCAATTCAACCGCCGCCATAACTTGTTTCAAACCCAAAGCTCAAGAAAGATCCAGATTTTGAACAACACATTCCAGCCATTGGCAGTTTGAAGAACTCCATAGTGATCTTTATCAAAAACCCAGATTTTTTTTTTTTTTTAACAAATTTAAACCCTAATGAAAAAGAATTGAATCATTCCTAACGATTCAAAGACCCTAATGTAAAAATCAAGAAGTTTATGAAAACCCCATCATTTGAATCGTGAAAAAATCAAGATTTGTGGATTAAAAGACGAAAAGATTGTTTTTTTTTCTCTCCTCTCCTCTCCTCTCCTCTCCTCTCTCACTCACTCTCTCTCAACTACGCAACAGTAACACTACCCAAAAAAAATCATGCACACATATAAGATTTCTTATATAAATCAGAAAACCAGGGTGTTGTTTTTCCTTTGTTTTTGGCAGAGGGATGCGGTGGTTTTGGACCCTAGGATGGAGATCTGACGGTGGAGAATGGTGGTGAGAGTGAATATGACCGTTGTGGTGGGGTTAATATGACCGTTGAGGGGTTAAACATA